TCCCTGCATGGGGGCCCCACGGGAGGGCAGAGGGTGTGGGGGGCTCTGCGGCGATTGGGGGCACGGCCAGGTGGTTCAGGGGCCCTGCAGGCACTCGGGGGGATTTGGGGGTTACTTGGGGCTCTCTGAGGGGGTTTGGGGTCCCGCAGATGCTGTGGGTGTGGGGGGTGAACAAGGGGGATTTGGGGGGTCCCTGAAGTTTTTGGTGTCCTACAGACGCTGTGGGTGTGGGGGGTGAACAGGGGTGTTGGGGGTCCCTGCAGAGGTTTTGAGGTCCCTGAGGTTTCTGGGCTCCCGCAGACGCTGTGGGTGCGGGCTCTGAACGGGGCCCTGGGCGCCCTGGCCCTGTTCCACCTGTCCTACCTGGGCGCCCTGTTCGATGTGGAGGCTGAGGACGCCGTGGAGGAGCAGGTGGGACCCCCGAGCCCCCCGGAGCCCCCCGAGGTTTGGGGTCGCCATTGGGATCGCCCTGATGCCATCTCGCCCCTCAGGGCTACGGCATGGCCTACACGGTGCGCAAGTGGTCCGAGCTGAACTGGGCCAGCCACTGGGTGACGCTGGGCTGCTGGGTGCTGGCCCGGCTTCTGCGCTGAGGCTCTGCGAGGCCACTGGGAGCCACCGGGGGCAAACTGGGAACACTGGGAGCACCTGGGCACGCCTGGGAGGACCGGGCGCCACAGAGAGCGCGGCCGCTCCGCCCCGCCGGAAGCGCCTCTCGATGGTCCCAACTTCCGCTCCGGGGGGTTTCCCGCCCTTTCTCGGGCGGAAGTGGCGCCGCGCGGCCGCTCTGGGACTAATAAAGCCTCGCCTCAATGGTTCTTGTCAATCATTCCTGGGTGGCCAATGGGAGCGCTAAGGGCGGCGCATGCGCGGACGGCTGGGGGGGGTGGCTCCCCCTGGCGATGGCGCGGAGTCAAAGCTTTGACCAAAATCCTCTTAATTCACCTCAAAAACGCGCGGGGGGACCCTATGGCCCCTATAGGGACTGGAGGGGACCCTATAGCTCCCGGGGGCGAGGGAGAGCGGCCATAGGGCTCCTATGGGGACCAGGAGCATCCCTGAGTCCCCTATAGGGAGTGGGGGGGAGGGTCCCTATAGCCCCCAGGAGAGGGAGGGTCCATATGGCCCCCAAAGGGACTGGGGGGGAGGGTCCATATGGATGCTATAGGGCCCGGGGGGGAGGGTCCATATGGATCCTATAGGGCCCGGGGGGTCGCTCGGAGCCGTCAGGTGCCCTTGGCCTTGCTGGGAGACCTGCAAGAGAGAGAGACCCTGAGGGACCCTATGGATCCTGTAGGGCCCGGGGAGCTCCAGGGGGGTCTATAGGGGCTGGGAAAGCTCTGCGGGATCCCCTACAGCCGCGGGCAGTCCCCTATTGATCCTGTACAGCCCCGGGCAGTCCCCTATGGATCCTGTACAGCTCTGGGCAGTCCCCTATGGATCCCACACGGCCCTGGGGGGCTCTTGTGGCATCTGGGGAGAGTACCTATGGATGCTGTATGGCCTGGGAAGTGTCCCCTATGGATTCTATATGGCCCCGGGCAGCCCCCCATGGCTCCCAGCCCGTGTTAGTGTGTTAGTGCCCCCCCACACGCGCTTTAACCAAATCCGCCTTTATTAGCCCCAAAGCTCGTTAAAAACGCGCCCGGCCCCTCCCCCCTACAAAATCTGTACATCCGGCCCCTCCCCCACCGGGCGGGGGGGCTGGGGGGGAGGGGATCCCCACAGAGGGGGCGGGGTCCCAATGAGCCCCTCATTAACCTCTGACCTCATTAATCTCCACCTCAGGGTCCCCCAGCACCCAAATCGCCTTAATGAGCTGCCCATAATTAATGAGTCTCTGCAGGTCCCTAACGAGCCGTAACGAGCCCCCACCACCCAAACAAGGCCAAGATCGGGGTCCCCCCCCCCCGCTAACCCTGGGGACCCCTGAGCTCCTCCACCACCCTGACGAGCCCTAATGAGCCTAATAAGCCTAATGAGCCTAATGAGCCCCTGCCACCTGCTGGACCTTCACCTGCTGACCCCTCACCTGCCGACCTCTCAGCGGGTTCCCTCACTGCTGACCCCTCACCTGGGCACCCTCACCTGCTGACCCCTCACTGCTGACCCCTCACCTGGGCACCCTCACCTGCTGACCCCTCACCTGGGCACCCTCACCTGCTGACCCTTCACCTGCCAGCCCCTCACTGCTGACCCCTCACCTGCCGACCCCTCAGCCGGGTCCCCGCCCCGCTCACGGCCCCCCGTCCCCTCCCCGTCCCGGTGGCCCCCGGCTGTCCCCAGGGCTCCCTAGGGCCCCACTGACTTGCCGCCGTCCTGGCCGCGGTGGCCGGCCTGGCCGCGGGGCCGCCCGTAGAGCACCACGGCGGCCAGCACCATGGCGGTGCCGGCCAGGAAGGGCGCGCGCGGCCGGAAGCCGAAGAGGTGCGCCGAGGCGGCCGTGGAGGCCAGGATGGACAGCGCCGTGGCGAAGCCCTTGAGGATGTTGTCGGCGTAGCGGACCACCACGGCCACCAGCAGCCCCCCGGCCGCCTGGTTGACCACCACGGCCCACACGGCGCCGTTGTAGCCGTAGAAGAAGCCGAGCGCGGCCACGGCCGGGCCCTCGGCGGCCAGCATGGCGCCCAGCCCCACGGCCGTGCCCACGGCGCCCAGCTGCACGTTGCGCAGCCAGATGGAGCCGCCCGAGCGCTTCAGCAGCCGCTCGAAGTAGACGCCGGCGAAGCCCGAGGACAGGCAGGAGGCGGCCACGGCCGCCAGCCCCACGGCGTAGCTCTGCGCCGGCCCCTCGGGGCCCGCGGACGGCGCCAGCGCCGCCGGAGGGGGCACGGCCCGCGCCTGCTCCGCCTGCACCAGCGCCACCCCCGCGAAGAGCAGCGCCAGCGACAGCCACTGCAGCCGCGACAGCGCCGTGCCCAGCAGCAGCACCGAGAACAGCGCCGTGGTCAGGATCTTCAGCTGGTACGTCACCTGCGGGGACGGGGGGGACAGGGACAGTCAGTCACCTGGGGACAGGGATGGGGACAGGGACATGGGGATAGTCAGCTGGGGACAGGGACATGGGGACAGGGACATGGGGACAGGGCCACCTGGGGACAGGGACATGGGGACAGTCAGCTGGGGACAGGGATGAGAACAGAGTCACCTGGAGACAGGGATGGGGACAATCAGCTGGGGACAGGAACATGGGGACAGTCACCTGGGGACAGAGACAGTCACCTGGGAGGACAGCGGGGACAGACACAGGAACAGTCACCTGGGGACAGGGATGGGCACATGGGGACAGTCACCTGCAGACAGGGATGGGGACATGGGGACAGGGAAATGGGGACAGTCACTTGTGGGGAGAGGGACAGTCACTGGGGGACAGCGGGGACAGGGACATGGGGACAGCTGGGACAGTCACCTGGGGGACAGTGAGAGAGGGATGGGGTCACCTGCAAGATGGGGACACAGTGACACATGGGGGACAAGAACACGTGAGGACAGGGTCACCTGTGGGGACAGAGAGCCCTGTGGGGATAGGGTCATGTGGGGACAGGGACAGGATCTGCAGCTGGCATGTCACCTGTGGGACAGCAGGGACAGGGTGACGTGGGGGTGGGGACACCTGGGGACAAGGGCAGGGATGAGAACAGGGTCACCTGGGGGACAGGGTCACCTGCAGGACACAGACACAGATGTGGGAACAGGGACATGGACACAGGGACACAGATACTGTCACCAGCAGGGACATGAGAGACAGGGCCCCTGGGCATCGTCACAGGGACAGGAGGACAGGGACACGGTAACTGTGACTGTCACAAGGACATGTGGATGAGGGCACCATGACCGTCACAGGGACATGAGGACAGGGACACGGTGACTGTCACAGGGACACTGTGGCTGTCACAGGGACATGGGTACAAGGACACCATGACTGTCACAGGGACACGGACACAGGGACAGCACCACGGTCCCCAAGGTCCCCGAGTTCATCACCTCCCCATGTGCCACCTCCCCCCATGTGCCACCCATCCCCACGTGCCACCTCCCCCCGTGTGCCAGCTGTCCCCTGTCCCACCTGGAAGGTGGCGGCGGGCAGGTTGGAGATGGCCACGTACTGCAGGTTGTTCTGCAGGGTGTAGATGAGGGAGGGGACAGCCAGGCGCAGCGTGTCCCCAAACTGTCCCACCACGGCCTCGTGCAGCGTCACCGCCGTCTGCCGGACACTGCCTGGGGGGACAGGGCTCAGCGACAGGGACGTGGCCCGGGCTGGCCATGGCCACTTCGTCCCTGTCACCCCCCACCGCGACTGCCCCACGTCTCTGCCACATGTCACCTTCATCCCTCCAACGTCCCCAGGGTCCCCTGTGTCTTCACTGTGTGACGCCTCCCAAGTCCCCTCCTGGTCCCTCGTGTCCCCTTTGTGTCCCCATCCCCTCAGCCTGTGCTCACCTCAGAGCTGGAGGATGGCACAGCACCAGGTGTGGCCCTGTCCCCTCTGTGTCCCCACTGTCCCCAAAATCCCCAATGTCCCCAGTGTTCCCAATGTCCCTGCTGTCCCCAACGACCCCTGTGCCGGATGAACAGCAGCAGCAGGCACAGCGCCTGTGTCCCCAGTGTCCCTACTGTTCCCCATGTCCCTGCTGTCCCCAGTGTCCTGTGTCCCTGCTCACCGCGGTGCTGGATGAGCAGCAGCAGCAGGCACAGCCCCATGTCCCCATGTCCCTAGTGTCCCCATGTCCCCGTGTCCCTACCCTGGTGCTGGATGAGCAGCAGCAGGCACAGCCCCATGTCCCCGTGTCCCAGTGTCCCCGTGTCCCTACCCCGGTGCTGGATGAGCAGCAGCAGCAGGCACAGCCCCATGTCCCCCGTGTCCCCATGTCCCTACCCCGGTGCTGGATGAGCAGCAGCAGCAGGCACAGCCCCATGTCCCCAGTGTCCCCAGTGTCCCCGTGTCCCCGTGTCCCTACCCCGGTGCTGGATGAGCAGCAGCAGCAGGCAGGCGCTGCCCTTCATGGCCTCGGCCATCACCACGGCGGTGGTGGGCAGGAAGCGCTCCCCGGGCAGCGTGCGCACGTAGCGGATGCTGAGCACCAGCGACGCGTTCTGCAGCACCAGCACGCCCAGGCTGGCGTACTTCACCCGCCACGACACTGCGGGGACACCGGGGGTCACTGGGGGACAGGGGAACACCGGGCTGAGCCCCCCTGAGCACCCTGGGATGGGAACTTCACCCGCCACGACACTACGGGGACACCGGGGGTCACTGAGGGATGGGGGGACACCGAGCTGAGCCCCCCTGAGCCCCCCCAGGCTGGCATACTTCACCCACCACGATACTGTGGGGACACCAGGGGTCACCGGGGGACAGGGGGAACCCAGGCTGAGCCCCCCTGAACGGGAACTCCCCCTGCCGTGACACTGCAGGGACACCGAGGGTCACTGAAGGGGAGGGGACCCCGGGCTGAGCCCCCCTGAGCCCCCCAGCATGAGAACTTCACCCGCCACGACACTGTGGGGACATTGGGGGGTCACAAGGGGACAGGGGGACCCCGGGCTGAGTCCCCCTGAGCCCCCGATCCCTCCGGGATGGGAACTCCCCCCGCTGGGACACCTGGGGGGTCACCCGGGGTCCCACGGTGGGACCCCCCCTCACACCCTCCGGACCCCCCGGACCTGCCCCAAAGCCCCGCCCACCCACGACCCCCCCCCCTGGCTCACCCGTCGCGGGCCCCGCGGAGTCTCCGGAGCCTCCCCCGTCCGCCGCCCCCGGGGCCGCCATGGTGGCACCTGCACAGGACTTCCGCTTCCGGCCACGCCGCGGCTCCGCCCACAGAGGGTGAGCGGCTCCACCCCCACTCTGTCAAGCCAATCCCCGCGCGTATTTTCATGCGGCGCCCCGCCCCTTCAGCCAGCCGAACCAATCAGAGCTCGCCTAGCACGCTTCCCGCCGCCGACTCGCGCTGTTTCCGCCTCTCTTCCTGTAAGCCACGCCTCCTTCACCCACAGACCAATCGCCGCTCTCCTCTCCACTCACACCCCCCTTAGGCTCCGCCCAGCACTCGCACTACCTCCCCCTCTCCAAACCCACCAATCCCCGCCCTCCTTCCTCACGCGTCGCCCAATCAGCGCCCGCTGGCGGCAGGGCCGCAGCCAATCAGCAGCGGCGGCGCTCGGCGCGCCGGCGCATTCCAAGATGGCGGCGGTGGCGGGCGGGTCGCGGCGCTGGGACCCCGCGGCGCTGGGGCTGGACCCGTCCTGGCGCCTCACGGCCTACGGCGAACTGCGCGGCTGAGGCTGCAAAGTCCCGCAGGAGACGCTGCTCAAACTCCTGGCGGGACTGGAGGGGCAGCGCCCGGGAGGAGGAGGCCGAGGGGACGGGGCGGAAGCGGAGAGCGGCGGGGCCCCGGCGCTGGGTGAGAGAGCGGAGAGCCCGGGAGGGCTGAGGGAGCCTGAGGGGCCTCGGGGAGCCCTCGGACGGGGGGCTTGGGGGGCCCAGGGGGAGCCAGGAGGGCTCGAGGCGGGCTCAGGGACACGGCGGGGGCGCTGAGGGGTCTCAGGGGCTTGGGGGAGCCCTCAGAGGGGGCGCTGAGGGGCTTTGGG